TGGTAAAAAGTCTAAAGTTCCCCTACCCCCCCCCCCATTTTTTTTTCTTTTTTCCTTAATTTCTTCAATGACTTCAATGACTTCCTGGTTTCCAAGCCGAGTCTTCAGGAGGGGTTTTCTCAACTAAGCATACCCTTCTGCCTGCATGTTTGTGCCAAGGGCAGATGGATTAATATGCCCTTACTCAAGATAGCCATGGCCAGAAATGCTAGGGGGTGTTTTGGCCAGAAATGCTAGGGGGTGTTTTTCAAAGTGAAAAATAAGTAAAATAAAGCATGGAGACATGGATGGATGGATGGATGGGCTTGCTTTGAATAATATAAATGATTTAACTAGTGTTTTCAGTTTGTGGTGTTCAGGTGCAGTGTAGTTCCGCTTTAAGGTGACCATAAGGCGGTTCAGCATTGAGTAGACAAATTTCGACCCATGCATGGGCAGGCTGGTTGTACACAAATTGATTTATTCGACTTTTGTAAAACCGGCCTGTTTAATTTTTCCTGACTGATCAGTACCGCCGGTTAGTCGGCATGTGCTACCTACGGTTTTTTTTTTTTTTTTTTAAATCCATAGCCCACTTTCACACTGAGGAGTTTTTTTTGAATTTTTTGCATTAAAAAAAAGCACCTGAAAAGCTCAAGAAAAATGCTTTCCTATGTTTGTGTGTCTATGTATGTTTTCACACTGGGGCATGGCGCTTCCATTGCAGTGTAAAAACTCCTGCTTGCAGCATCTTTGGAGCATGTTTGTTCAGCTAAAAAAAAAAAATGCCCCAAAAAGCACCTCTTCCCATTTAAATCAATTAAAAATGCCTCAAAAACACCTCAGAGCAGTGATTTTGGTGCCGTTTATAGTCACATGTCCTTTAAAAAAAGTGCAGAAAGCATGTCAAAAACGCATATGTGTTTTTGCGGCGGATTAGTGTGGAAGTAGCCTTATTGCGAATTTCAAACATGGGTATCAAAACACGTTTTTTAAAGAGGATTTCCAGGTAGTTATATTTTTGTCCAGCTTGGTCCAAAGTAACTATGTATACCATATGTATTTAGTGGTGTAGCACTAAATAAATACTAAACAAAAGCATCAATGATGCTTTTGTTTAGTATTTATTAACGCTACACCATTGTTTTTAGATTATCTATTTACTTTGTGGTCAAAGGAGGGTGTGAGCATTTTAGGGTAGGGATTATCCATTTTAAGCGCAGGGGGTTTTTCCTTATATTCTTATGTATCAAGGTATGCGACTAGCATCCCGTCTTTAACCACACCGGAACATTTTTCACATCTTTAAAAAGCAGAATTTTTTGCTAGAAAAAAGCCCAGAGGGGACAGGATTGCCTTTCTTTCCTTTTTTGTTTAACTTTTTTTCAAAGTATGCAATAACATGGCCAGGTGGCAGGTCTTTCTGGAGACAACAGCAGAGGGAGGCAGTAATCGGCCTTTTTCACTACCACAAATATGATCAGGTGGCTGTAAAGACCCCCTGATCACCAGCTGAAAAAAGTTGATGTCAAGCTTGTGGCCGCAACCGTAATATTGTTATAACTACTTTTAATCCAGAACATTTTATAAACGGCCTAAGGACATCAAGTGGTTAAAGAGAAATTACTTCCCCCTTTTTAAAGGCAGGGCTCCCCTGACTGTAAAATACTCATTGCTACTGGGTGTTGGGGAGCAAGTGATCTCCTCCTACGATGCTGTGTTTAGGCCAAAAACACTGTTGCATGATAGAGGACATCGTGATCAACCCTGTGCAAGTTTGGGCACCATCCGACATGGAGCTTTTTCAGGGTATTTTTGCAGCAGCTTTACCTAAAGCAGCAGCAGGAGATGGGAGAATAAAAGTGGGTTTAGGGGGTGGGCTAGCAAGAGAGCATCACTTTGTTTTCTGAATAGCAACATAAACTTGGCTATAGAAAAGGAGTATATGCTTGTTTAAACACACAAAAAACACAGATCTATGCATGTGTTTAGAGAACTGTATGTCAAAATGATCAGTAGAACATTGAGAATATGGGCAAAAAAAAGTTATATGCAAAAGTTGAACTTGGCTCCTGCCTCCCTATTTTTCAGTGAGGCAATCTATCGCTACCTGTTCTGGAACGCTAGAATATAGATGAGGGAATAAAGGTTCATCCATGACATGGACTTCCAGAAGGTGGGAAGAGATATCCCAACCAATCACAGATGACTGGACTAGACTTAGAACCAGCTGTTTCTCATAAGTAAACTGTTGTGACTGCATAGGAACTTAAGCTACAGGAACAGAGGAAGGGTCTGAATCAACTTGAGAATAGAATAGGGTGAGTAACTTGGCAAAGAGGACACTACCAATTTGTGGTTTTCCAACGGCTGAGAAGCATCCAGCCCTTTGCAACTGATAGGAAACAGCTCACATCATTGGATGATACAAGGTCTGGATGGACCTTGAAGAAACCCCAGCCAGGAAGCTATTCCCACTAGAACCCATGTTAACTGTGATTTGCATAAGTGGTCATCTGAGAGTCCCACAATGTAGATGTCATACAAAGGCATTAGGAAAAACACTGGAGGAGGCTTAAGGTGCAATGGTGAGACTGAAAAGTAGAGGCTGAGAGGTAACGGTGAACCATCCTGGCTGTCCATGAAACAGAGGATACTTCTGGAAGGTGTTGTGGGACCCAGTGCCCAAGGTTTACCTCCAGGCTAGCCCTACAGTGTTCAGTCCAGCAGGATTTGGGAACAACTCTCTAAACTATGCTGAGGGAAGGTCAATATGGCTAGCTGTGATTTGTTGAGACCAGCTCGGGCAATGATGTAAAAAAACTTCTGCATTAGGAAAAAGGTTTGAAGAAAGTAAATGATATACTTTCCTATGTATTTACAAATGCTAGCAGCAAAAGAATTAAAAAATAATTGTTGATTGGGAGAGTGAAGTTTCGCTTGAAAGTTTCCTTTAAAAAAAGTATTAAAAGATACTTTTGTTCATCCCTTTAAAACTGCCTATGAAAGCTTCTATTCATATATATCTCAACCTGCCATCAATTCTGAAAGCGTGAAGCCTGTCAAGTGGGGGTCACTGATGGGTAAAGGTTATCACAGGTCTTTCTACCATTATTCCAAGATCTAATGACAGCTAATAGCCCACTTAATGCTATGACCAGACGTAATTCCCTTGAGCCTTATTTTGTTACATAGCTTTACTTATATAATCTTGACCTTACCCTTGAGCGTGTCATTAGTTCTGACACAGACTCACCTTTCCCCATTCCATGGATTCATTGTGACACTGACAAGACAGGTCTGGACTGGCTCTCCTGCAGGCAATTGTCAGACTAAATGAAGTTTTGGTTTTTGCTTCAAGTAGACCCGTTGTTTGCAGATGTCAAAGGAGGGCATGATGCTCAGACGGTCTAGATCATTTTTTTTTTTTTTTTTTTTAAATCTACAGGATATGAGTCCAAAGGTCGCACTGCCCTGGGGCTGATATTTATTAAGACAGAGGTGCCTTTGTTTTATGGGAAACTGCGTAGTTTGGTTTGGTCTACCTAAACATGAGGCAACAAACTTTATAGCAGAATTCCGGTTTGGTTTTATTTTAACTTACCTGGTAGAGCAGTGTGTCCTGTTTCCTGTTCCACATCTTATGTCTTTCAACACTTCTACTTCTCTATTCAACTAGGAGCTGAAATGTGGGCACACAACTATCATTAACATAACATGCCTCTGTAGTTCTTTGGACTGCAGGAATGACATGATGCAATTGGTGCTGTTACCAGTACTACCAGCATAGAGGTGCAATACCTATTGTGACATCTAGGCCCTGAGCTGCACATACCAATATCGCTTTGTGGCCTGGTAATCCTGCCTCTACGGTTCTGAAATTCCATGCAGTGTGTCACCTTGGCCTGGCCTGAGGATCCCTCCAGTGGATTACAAAATGCTGGGTTATGTAGTCCAACAACGCTATTTGTGATTTCAGTGCAGTGAAGGCAGCTTTGTCAGCCCATAATAGAATTTAGGAGCTGATTGGCTTTCTTGCAGGCTCACCGCTTTTCTTGCAGCATTTTAAAGAGGCAGAATATGGCAAAATGTGTACTCGCACACAGGCAGTCTCAACCAGCTTAAAAGTTGCAAAATGAACGGAAATAATCAACGTTGACAAACACTAACAATTTGGAAACTTTCACAGTTTTGAAAGAACCTCTTGGTGGTAGATTGCAGTCATTAGTTTTGTTGCCTTTTAATGTACAGCTAGCTGCCCTAAACAGGTAGTGTGTAGCCAGCATTGGCACTCAAAAATCTGGTGCTTCCTTTGCGCCCTTGTGAGACTTTAGCTGACTGCACACATTCAGATTACTCTATCCATTCTAAACCGCTCATATGGAGGGATCTCCCACTGTAGCTTTTGTATTTTGATAGCCAGACCTGCTAGCTGTCAAAATGCCCAAACAGTACCTGCATATGATTAGATAAAGGCACTGTTCTACTGACCATTTTTTCCACTTGGCTCCTTTCAAAGAATGTTGGATAGGATGGTACCACCAGGGCTACTCATCAAAGATGGTTCAGCCGAAATACAAAATCTTTGTGTATGGTCCACATTATTGTGTACTACTTTGTGGGATGGAAAGGAATATTGACAAGGCTCATTGGCGGTATTTGTATGCGTTTTTGAAAGGGCTGAGAAATGGTGTAGTGCTGTTGGTTTGTCTAGGAATCCATTACAGCTTCCAAAAAAAAAATATAATTTCTACCTGAGTAAAGTTGAAAAAACATGAGAAGTATTCTGAGAAAGTAGAGCACAATGTCCTCAGCAGCTGGAACACTCAGTCTCATTATCCACAAGTGACATTGCAACGGCCCCAATCAATGTTCCTCTCGCTGTCTAAATGTTTTAAAGAGCTGGAGGGGTGGGGGCTGAAAGGAGGGAGGCGGGTTGTTAAAATGACAGTAAGTTCAACTTTTCCCCGAGTCTGTATTCCCATTGCGACTCAAAACTTCTACTGTTTTGTCCTTGTCAGAAAATAGACTTCTGCCGCTTGAAGGACGCTTTTGAAATTGACTGGAGCAGCGAAAAAGCAAAAGCTGTACTAAAGAAAACACCTGCCGACTTCTTCCTTTTGCAAGGTAAGAATTGTGTAGAACACTTAGGGGTCTGTGTGTAAGAGCAGATCCTGGAACATTTGTTGGTGCACCCTAGCCAGATTTATTGATCTTCCAGGCAAATTTGGATATTGGGGTGATATGCACTTAATACAAAAGTTACAAGAGAGCAAAAGAGCCGTGCAGGGTTTTCATGGGTAATTATTGCAAATAGTTACCTGTAGGCAGGAATAATATCACACCTGGGAGCTATGAGCAGGCAGAAACGCTATATTGCAAAAAGTATTGGGACGTCTGCCTTCCACCACGCACATGAACTTTAATGGCATCCCAGTCTTAGTCTGTAGGGTTCAATATTGAGTCGGCCCACCCTTTGCAGCTATAACAGCTTCAACTCTTCTGGGAGGGCTGTCCACAAGGTTTAGGAGTGTGTATGGAAATGTTTGACCATTCTTCCAGAAGTGCATTTGTGAGGTCAGGCACTGATATTGGACGAGAAGGCCTGGCTCAGTCTCCGCTCTAATTCATCCCAAAGGTGTTCTGTTGAGCTGAGGTCAGGACTCTGTGCAGGCCAGTAAAGTTCCTCCACCCCAAACTTGCTCGTCCATGTCTTTATGGACCTTGCTTTGTGCACTGGTGTGCAGTCATGTTGGAACAGAAAGGGACCATCCCCAAACTTCCCACAAAGTTTGGAGCATGAAATTGTGCAAAATGTCTTGGTATGATGACGCCTTAAGAGTCCCCTTCACTGGAAATAAGGGGCCAAGCACAGCCCCTGTAAAACAGCCCTACTCCATGATTCCCCCTTCCACCAAACTTTACACTTGGCACAATGCAGTCAGGCAAGTACCGTTCTCCTTGCAACCGCCAAACCCAGACACGTCCACTGAATTGCCAGACAGAGAAGCATGATTCGTCACTGCAGAGAACACATTTCTATTGCTCTAAAGTCCAGTGGTGGTTGTGCTTTACATCAATGCATCCGATGCTTTGCATTGCACTTGGTAATGTAAGGCTTGGATGCAGCTGCTCGGCCATGCAAACCCATTACATGAAGCACTGTTGTGCTAATCTGAAGGCCACACAGTTTGGAGGTCTTTAGCTATTGACTCTGCAGACAGTTGGTGACTTATACACACTGTGTGTTTCAGCATGCGCTGACCCTGTTCTGTCATTTTACGTGGCCTACCACTTCGTGGCTGAGTTGCTGTTGCCAGTTGCTTCCACTTTGTTATAATACCACTAACAGTTGACCGTGGAATATTTAGTTGCAAGAAAATTTCATGGATGGACTTATTGCACAGGTGGCAACCTATCATGGTATGTAAATAAACCACACCCCACTAAGTGGAATTTAAAGTGATACTGTGACCCCTAAACCACTGTAGTAATACTTCCACCCTGGAAGCTTCAGATCTTGATTATAATGAGTAGCGGTCGCCGTGAAATAGAAGTCCAAAACACACGAAAACGTCTAACATATAAGTCCCAAAAAGTTCTCAAGGTTCTCCATATACCCTGGTTAAATCTTCTTTTTATCCACCCATTCTCAATTTTTCTCAACCGATACATCTTCCACTCTTAATACCTCAAAATAATAAACTATACATAGTGCATTATCCTTATAATATAACGCAAGTACTAGTGATGTGCACACATCAAAGTGTTCAAAATAAGTGCCCCAGTGATCATGTATACATCCAGTGACTGTAATTCCTACCCTTCCCCAGAGTAGGTAACAACTTATAAAACTCAGGTGGTTACACAATCCTTCATACACTGTGAATCAATGCCATGCCACACATTAACTTGTGATCATACAGTGAAACATCCAAATGGTATGACACCTGTCAACCCATGTACCTTACCAGATTGACAGGTAATGAAGGCTTTACTCAGATTCCTAAGCTCCAGGATCCTGATATCAATGCTCCGAAACCAGCGGTGGTATGTACCCAGAATGAAAGTGAAGAATCCTCGTGTAAAACAACCTGTTGGCGCGTTTCGTCATCACGACATTTTCAAAGGATGCGTCCATCATACTGCGGCTGGCCATATGTACCCTTAGACTCCTCCTTTCTCCAGTAATCGTCACCATCTTAGGAAAGGAAAGGATGCCCATCAACACTGCAAACAAGTGATCTCGGCCACTAATAGATGAAAAGGGGCCGAACCAACTTAAATTAAGTGTACCTATCCTCTGGCTTCTCTGCTGACATCTAGTGGAGAGATAGGAAATTCCACCCGAAAATGAAAAGAATAGATACTACACTAAGACACATAACATTATAGGCATAACTTCCTAGGAAAAGTAGATAAATGCAAAATAACCTACATGGCTGAGAGTAAAAGAGGGGAAAATGATAAATAACCTGGAATATGGCGGATACCTATGATCATCCTATTCAGGATGATCCAAATAGATCAAGCCTAAACTATAAATAAACCAAAGAGGGGAAAATGGGGGATGCCTTGTCCCAATATTAAATGACCCAAACTAACCCTTCCATGACATAGATAACCCATATCCAAATGATGTTGATCAACATAGGTGAGGGTCCTCTGTGCAATTCAGTACTATAGTTAAATATACTTTGTGTCCCTAAAATAAATAAAGAAAACCACTAACGTATACTATCCAAAACATGGGGGTATCCATCCCTCAGAAATAGGGGAAAGGAGGAGGGAGGCAGAGAGAACTGAAGGGGGACAGATGATGTAACATAGGATATGCAATAAATGGTAAATACACTCATCTATATCAACCCATATTGACCTCTTTTTTTAGGCATTGTAAATGAAACTATTTAAGTCCAACTCAACATTTAGTCCCCTTGGTTTCATTCTGTCAATTTTATAAATCCAAAACGTTTCTGACTTTTAGTTGCTCTCCAATGCCCCTCAATCCTGTCAATACCACAAAATTTCAGCAGGGAGGGATCACCTTTATGAACTTCCTTGAATGTTTGGACAAATTGTGTTCTTTTTTTACCCTTCTTGATATTCCTCACATGCTCCCTTACCCTAATATGTAATGGTCGTGTGGTACGACCCACATACTGAAACTGGCAGGGACATTCCAGCAGGTAAGTCACGAAGGAGGTGGTACATGTATTAAATGTATTTATATTGTATTGCCTACCCGTTGACTGCGATGTAAATTTTTCAATCCTCCTTGCTTTTCGTGCTGTTATTTTACAAATGTTACATTTCCTACAGGGAAAGAAACCTTTCAGATCAAACATGGAACAAATATTCTTTATAGGTGGTGAGATGATGCTCTTAACCAAACGATTACGCAAATTAGAAGCTTTCTTTAGATGACGGGTGTTTTTTTTTTAGGGAGGAGCACTGTGCGCTTCAGCATGCGCTGACCCCACTCTGTCATTTTACGTGGGCAGCCACTTCGTGGCTGAGTTGCTGTTGTTCCCAGTTGCTTCCACTTTGTTATAATACCACTAACAGTTGACCGCGGAATATTTAGTAGCAAGGAAATTTCACGGATGGACTTATTGCATAGGTGGCAACCTATCACAGTACCACGCTTGAATTCACTGAGCTCCTATGAGCAACCCATTGTGTCACAAATGTTTGTAGAAGCAGTCTGCATGCCTAGGTACTTGATTTTATACATATGTGGCCATGGAGGTTGCTGGAACACCTGAATCCAATGATTTGGAGGAGTGTCCAAATAGTTTTGGCAATATAGTGTATTTGTCCCTTAACTAAGCCAGGAGTGGCTTGGTACTCTCATGTAGAGTGGCCACTACGTTGTCTTAGTGAAGACGAAGTTGCTTGCTATTTGGAAAAATCTGTCAATAGTCCCTTCCGCTGTTGGAAGCTGTTGTGTTGGCCCTCTTGTGACTTGCTGCCTGCGTGCCTTGGTTTAGCTACCAGGCAAGAACATTATTGATTGATGGAAATGATCAGAAAGGAGAAGTGAAAAAAAGTGCTTGCTTTTGGAACCCTGCATTATTATTATTATTATTATTATTATTATACAGGATTTATATAGCACCAACAGTTTGCGCAGCGCTTTACAATATAAGGGAGACGCATTTTTGCTTTCTCTGGAAGCTGGTATGTAGCGGTCATGGAGTAACGGGCAGTAGACAGTATTGTACTGCTTGATGGTGGGAGTGATCTGGAACCTTGATACAAGGGATTATAATGCTCCTATCTGCCTGTCTTTCATGATACTGACCCCATTCTGTACTTTTCCCAGGCTGAACTGATATTGTGCATTACATATTCGTAGAACGCTGATGCTGGTGGAAACCAACTTTACTGAAAAAAAAAAAAAAAAAAATTTCTACAATTCGTAATGGCAAAGCTGTTTACATTTTCAAATATAACCTAGTAACAATGCTGTTTGTTGCTGAAGCTGTGAAGGCTGCCATGACAAATTAGTTGATCAGACCCTGGAAATAATTTTGGTGTTTTCCTGCCAAGCTTTTGAGATCACTGTAATTCAGTGGCAGCCATGCTGCTTCTGACTTAAAATGTCTATTGCTTGCTTAGTGGCAGACTTCCCATGTGTATTACTAGTATAGGCATTGGGACCTTGCAAGTAGTCACATTGAATGGACATACTGTACATTTTGTTGTAAATCAATGGTGCTAAAAATGCATTCTGGGTGCAATACAGGTAAACGGGTTGCATGTGCAATCATGAAATCATTAGCTACATGAATTTATTATTTATTACAGCTACTTATATAGCGCTGTCAATTTACACAGCGCTTTACATATATATTGCACATTCATATCAGTCCCAAACTCTCAAGGGGCGTACAATTTAGGTCCCTAACTTAAAATTATCCATACACATACTAGGGCCAATTTAGACGGGATCCAATTAATCTACCAGTATGTCTTTCGAGTGTGGGAGGAAACTGGAGTACCCACGGAGGAAACCCACGCAGGCACAGGGAGAACATGCAAACTCCAGGCAGGTGGTGCCATGGCTGGGATTCGAACCAACGACCCTAGTACTAGTGCTAACCATTTAGCCACTGTGCTGC